AACAGGCTGAGAGCTCTTTGCACACAAGTGATCCTTACAGAAACGGGTGTCCTCGTTTTACAGATGAGGTGAAATGGAGCTCAGGGAGGGGACGGGGTCCTCACTCTTTGTCAGTGCTTCCTGGAAGCTGCGGGGTTAAGCCAAAGGGTTTAGGAAAGCATGTCCTTGAAAACTGGTTCATGGCACATTGGCAGGGATTTCCCCCCCTTGTCATCATTATAACAAAAATGATGTTGAGTAAACACGTTATTCGAGGTCCCTCTGTGAGGTCACAGGGCCACAGAGTCAGGGTCTGAACTTCAGTCTTCCAAGCCTGGTATTTTCTCCTACCTTGTTTCAGTTTGAACTGAGGAAAGAGGATGCAGAGCCATCCGCTGGGCTTGATCCAGAAGAGCCTCGTGGCACCAGGAAAACGATTGCACCCTCCTCACACCTCCGGGAGCCGGCCTCCGCCTGATGCTCTGTACTCTCACTGCTGCTTTGAAGTCAGGCTGCCTGGTTCAAACCCTGATCCTGCCCCCTCCCAGCGAGCAAACTCTCCTCCAGCGGCCTCAGTTTCCTCTGCTGTAAGATGGGGACAGTGCCTGCTTCAGAGGGTTATGGTGATGGTGGAGTGAGGAAATTCATGTAGAGCCCTTGGCACAAGGCCTACACAGGTGAGCATATATTCAATGCTTCATTTAACCTTCACGATAACAGGCCAGACAGCACGATGAGGAGCCTCTCTCTACAGATAGGGAAGCCGAGCAGTCCTAGGTTAGAAACTAGTAAGTGGGTCACTTACTGGCTGGGTCACCCTCTGACCCCTAACTATGCTCTCTTCCCACAGGGCTGAAGTCCCGGCCTTACCTGGAGGCCCCCCGGCTTAGGGATCTGACTCTTACTTAGGTCTGGCAGGCCCCAAGCATCAGACTGTCTTCCAGGCTAGGCGGTGAGATCACTTAGTCCAAGTGGGTCACAGGGAGGGGGACCTGGGGTTCCAGCACTGCACTGCAGGGCACAGGGGCTGGGCTTCTCCCTACTCCAGCTTTCAGAGGCCCTAGGGGCAGCTCCTCCATCCAAGTCCTCAAGAAGCACACCTCCATCCCACTGGCCCCAGGGCCCTCTGTTCTGATTCACTGTAAAACCAGCGCTGAGCTCTGGTGATGCCAAGCAAGCAGGGGGCCAGACTGGGCCGCATTCCCTACTGCTGCCCCCTACAGGCAGGCAGGCTCCTCCACACCAACAGGCACAGAGAAATGTACACACTGCTCCCTTTGGCCTCACGCATCCACGTGCTCACGCTCAGGTATACACACCTGGGGCACAGGCCCACTGAACATACACACGCTGCTCCACACCCTCAGAGGAAGGACACAATGTCCCAGAGGCCTTCACTGCATCACAGCCTCACGGTGCCAGGGACGGAGACACCAGCCCTCCCCATCACACGGGGCTCACAGCCCGGGACCAGACACCAACCCACGCAGTCACTGGCACTCAGTTTTGGGGCACCTCCAAGCCCAGGTTCCCTGAACAGGCACTCAAGGTCTCCCTCCAGTTGGAAAAAGGAAGGAGGAAATGCTGTTCCTTTTCTAAGCTCCCCCTGCTCTTGCCAAACCCAGAGGGGCTTTGTCTTGGGCCTGCCAGAGGCGGGAGGTCTCTGCACCCCACTCACCGCGCAGACTTTATGTCACTTGTCTCTCCTGGCACGGAGCCAGACTCCAGCTCACACACACCCACGTCGAAAAGCCTGCTGGGGCCCCCTCCTCATTTCCCAGCTCCCGCAGCCCCTCCTCCCCAGCCACCCTGATCTCCCTCTTTCTGTCCTTGGCACCCTCCCACCCACACTCCTGCCTCAGGGCCCATCATCGCTGTTTCCTCAGTCTCAGGAGTGGGCGCCTGCTTGCTCCCCGCTCCCCTGGTCTCGGCTCCCTACACAGACCACCCTGCGCACCCCAGCAGGGCCCCCCCACCCCCACCCCTACCCCACTCTGCACCCCTCCCCTGCCTCGGCCTTCAGAGTGCTGAGCACAGGTAGTTCGTCTGTATACAGAGGGGGCGTCAGCGTCTCCCCTCCCCCAGTGCAGTGGCAACTCCCTGAGAATGGGATTTAAAAAATAATCATCTCTAACATTTATATAGAATTTACCCAGAACTGTTTGCAAGCACTTAGTTAATTCATTTCATCCTAATATTTAATCTACTGTGATGTAGATGCTATCTCTCTTTCCCCGCTGTAAACTAGGGAACTGGAGCACAGCTATTTAGCTAGTAAGAGATGGAGACAGGATCCCAACAAAGATGAATTCTTGTCCCTCTTTTTGCTGCTTTAGTCTATGCCCCCCAAACGCAGTCTGTCCTATGGGGCTGGGGGTGCTCAGTCATTGGGTGTTGAAAGAATGACTCGACCTGCAGCCTGGCTCAGGGCACCCAGGGGCAAAGCCCCAGATCCTGGGCAGGAAGACTTGGGGTAGAGTCTGGGTCTGTTACAGCCTCTCAATCTGGGCTCTCGCGTGGCTGCCGTGGGGATCAAGGAGGAGGCATGAGAGCTCGCGGAATAGTGGTGGTGAGCCTTCCATCCTCCAACCCCCTGCCCCACCCCCAGGTGTCCACATGGGAGGGGTGCCCGGTGAATGAAGGCGTCTCAGCACCACTCCCCTCCCCTTCTATGTGCACCCCCTGCATCTCTGGGGTGGGGGCCTGCCACCACCCTTCCCACCTCCCCCTGCCAGCAGGCTTCTAGCAGCTTCTACCAATGAGATCTTAGTTGCAGGAGCACATCCCCTGCACCCAACCTCTTCTGATTCCCTGAACCCTGGCCGGCTTCCTTCACACCCCAGCCCTCCTCTTGGTGTTTTTGTGAGCTGGACCTCTTCATTACCTTCCTATGTGAAACAGCTAGGGTGGAATATTTTCTTGACTGAATCCTGACTGGCTCAGGATGTTTCTAGAACTTCTCCTGAGGGCACACTTTGATGGTGGGGTGGGCTGAATGTGCACTTGGGTGAGGCTGGAGGGCCATGGCTTGTCTCTCCCAAATGTGCCAACTTGGGTGGGCCTTACCCCTCCAGTGAGGCGGTAAGGGTATTCCTCGCCCTGTCCTGCCCCACCCACAGCAATAATAAAAACAACGCCACATGCACGGTGTTCTCAGCACCTGGCAGGAATTCACGCATCCATTAAGTCATTTACTCCTCGCCACGTCCCGGTGTTCCCGATACTGTTATCATCCTATTTTACAGACGAGTAAACTGAGACCCAGGCTAGTAAGTCATTACACAGCTAATAAGCAGCACATCTGAGACGGAAACGCAGTCGTCTAACTACAGAGGCCGTGCTCATAATCACACCCTTGCTCTTGCTCGCTGGCATCAGTGCCAATAGCTTGAGCTGCAGATGGGACCTCAGGGCCCTCGAGGAGGGAGAATGAAGAGACAGATGATGAGCTGATGCTCATTACGTGCTCGAGAATTCACCAAGGTCCTTTCTCTAGCCTCTTCTTTTCATAATTGTCTCTACTCCCTACCAGTCCTGCAGACCTCAGGCCCGAGGCCACGTCCAGTGAGTGCAGGAAAGGGCCTGCTCTCCACTCCAGGAAGGGGGATGGGATGTGCACTGGCCATGGCTCTCGGACAAGGGTACATCTCAGCTCTGCTTCTCAAGTGCCCACACAGGCGGGAAAGTCCTGTCTCCTGTGGGTCTTTGATCCCCAACTGTAAACAGGGTATGTGGGCTGAAAAGTCCACTGGGAGCTCTTCCAGCACATTCTAGAATCCTGTTTTAGAGACACTTTGAAAACCGAAAACTTTGGCCAGGGCAGAGGAGTAGAGCACAATGCTGCCCACCCCCCGCACTGGCTGCGTGTGACGGAGACCTGGCACGCCAGAGCCCTGGGCACATGGGGGCTTTGCCAGAGGTTGGGTTTGCCTGCAAGCAGAGAGCCTGCCAGGCAGAGCACAGCGCTGCAGCTGCTCCAGTGCCACCGTGACCCAGGGCTGCCCCTACTCTCAGCAGTTCTTCCAGGAAGCAGGGCTGATTGTCCCTCTTTTGATGAGCTGACTCAAGGCACTGATGGCCACTCTGTGCCAGGTGTTGTGCTGGGCACAGGGCCACAGGGTGAATCGGACACAGGCTTGGCCTCCAGAGTGCCCAGGCTGGCAAAGGCAGACCCCAACCTCCATCACCCCTTTCAAGATCCAGCTGGAACCCTCCTCTTCCAGGAGGGCTCTCTGCTTCCTCAGCTCTGATTTCCAATAATCCCAGAAGGCAGTGTAACCCAGCCCACACCCAAGAGCTTTCCAGGACACCATGACCCGCACCGCCTGGACTGTGATGAGACCAGGACAAGGCAGGTCCTCGCCACCCTACCGCAAGCTGGGGCTCTGCAAGCACAGCCAGAATCGTTGCTTGGCAACAAGGATGTGTGATGGCCCACATCTGTCCTGGCCTGAAGCCAAGGCAGCAACCTGACCCAGCATCCGCATGTGGGGCACCTGGATAAGGTCACTCTGTGCTGGGCTTAGAAGCACCTAAAGTAAGCAAGGTCATCATGTTGTTCAAATGTTCTCAGCGCCCAGCTGAGGGGTGCCGGGGACTGCAGAAGCAGCTGTGTGAGGCCACAGTAGCTTCATGCGCCTTAGTGTCATGGTCTCTAAAATGGGCTAATAGTCCCTACTAGCAGTCACTGCACAGCCGCTTAAAGCAGCTGATGTGCGTAGATGCTGCTGGTGTCCCAGAGATGTGTCGCCTCCTCCTGGCCCCGCTGAGGCTAGTATTCAGGCCCAGCAACACTCCCAGGATGCTCCCAAAGGAAGCCTTCCTCCTTGAAGACACCAGAGTTCGTTCTGGGTGCCCACCCCCACACACAGGCTGGGGCAGGACAGGGATCTGCTGTGTCGAACACGTCCTGATGAGACCACTGAGCACGCACAGAGAAGGCGCAAAGGGCGGCCGCTGGAAGAGGTGGGAAGCACCCACTCGGACCAGTCGGTGAGGACAGCCGGCCTCCGTCCTGTACCACAGCCTGTGGCGACGCCCGCTGGCCCAGCTCCTCTCCCACGTAGTGGCTGCCCACTGCCGGGCTGTCAGCACAAGAGCAGGCGCGGGTGGCTAGCCCTGAGTTTTCCCCCATGGGGAACTGGGGGGGGCGGTACGTGGAGGAAGGGCAGCAGAGCTCCAAGCCCAGACTTCTTAGCCAGGCTGGTCAAAAAGCCCTTGGGGAGATTTAATTGGGATGGTATCTTCTCCTGGAAAAGAAGACCCTAACATGTACCAGCAAAGCCAAGGTCACATCAAATCTGAAAGGCGACTTTGTTCTTTCCTGCTTCATCCGTTATGCATGAAAGGGCAGACGGCGGGTGCTCAGGATTCATAATTTGAGACATCCGGAGACTAAAGACATTGGCCAAATTTAAACCGAAAGATGAACTTGTTGGGTGTCTTTTCACATTACGGGAGAAGAAGAAAGGAGAGAATTTCTTAGTCATCTACGATTCACTCAGCATTCACAGCAAGTCTGCCCCACGGCTGACATCAGAGGGCTCTGCCTCTGGGTTCCGGATATTTTAAATATCACTGTTTGAGAGGGACAAAGAAATAAATGGCTGAGGAGTCCCCTGGGAGCCTGGAGAGCAGCCTCTCTGGGGTGGTCACTGCAGCTTGACGGGCCTCAGGCAGCACCACCAGAGATGTGTGGGGCCAAGGGTCACTCTTTCCTTCCGGAGCCCGGAGCACCTGGGCTCAACAGGAGTCACAGGAGAGCTGGAGAGCTTAGTGTGGCTCTGGCAGCGCCAGCTCAGGTTCCCGAAGCCTTCGTCATCAACTTTACCTTGATCTCCTTGGATGTATTTGGTCAAATTGTCTTTGGCTCTGAGATATGCTTTGAGCCACCTGCCACCAACAACGTAACGGTCACCTCTGAGCCTCAGAAACCCAGGCAGGCGGACGGCGCAGAGCGTGTGGGACCCTTTCCCAGGTGGGGAGACTGATGCTGAAGGAAAGAAGGGATGATCCAGTGTCACAGCCCCCAAGTGAGAGTTGGAGCTAGACCCTGGGCCCACCTCACTAGACACACTTCCCACCTGCCCCCACTGCTGAGCGCACTTAGGCCCTGAATGCCTGCACTGTGCTCCCCAGTGCTGAGCCCCAGGCCTGCACTGTGTTTGGCACAAAGTTCATCACATGAATAAATATCGTGGACCCAGCTGAGAATGTGATGGGGTGATGGACACCCTCCCTGAGAAAGTCAAGCTTGCTCAGGCACACACTGCCGCACACACACAAGCGTTCGCAGATCTGCTCGGGACCCCGCCCAGACTTGTGGGGCCCTCCTTCTCCCCTCGCCTCAGAGCTGACACATTGGAGTGCTGGTAGCCACCCAGTGAGCCTCATCACACCCCCGCCTGCTGGCTGAATGGAGGCCCCTTTGGGCTTCAACCAGGAGACCACACACCATTATCCCCCACTGCTGGGCCTACGCCCAGCTGCCAAAGGGCAAGCGTTGCTGGACACAACTCCCACACCAGGCCTCTCCATCCAAGGGTGCTGTTTTTCAAAAAGAGAATGTTTATTATTTATATTTTTCTCATTAGAAAGTCCTTTACAGTAACACAAAGTAAAGCACAGACTCACCTACACACACACGAGGGGCACGCTGGGCATGGGCCAGAGACAGGACGAAGGTCAGTGTGAGCCACACAAGCAGAGCCCAGCCCTTCTCAAGGTTCCTGGGCCCTCGCACCACGGACGGCCTGTGTCAGGCCCACCCTTGCTGCCTCATGACAAAAAGGGGAGGAGAGGAGGGTCTGGGGTGGCAGCAAGGGTGGGAAAGGGGGCAATCCCCGCACTCTGACGACGACGACCCCATGAACCCACCCCTCACCCAGGCGTTCATCTCTCACGTGTTTTGGTTCAAGTGCTTGGGAAAGTAGATTTTAAGAAACAGCGTGTTTTTTGGTGAAACCTCCTCGAATGATTACCCAGCACAGCCAGGCCTGGGAGGCACCTGAGGATGGAGAAGGTGTCGGCGGTTTTGCTGGGTTTCCAGAAGCCGCAGCCATGGGGGAGGGAGGAGAGGACAGGGAGGTGCTGAGGCCAGACCGCCGGGCACACCTGCCCTGACGTGGGCGTGCAGGGAAGAACAGTCTGGGCGTGGAGTCTGGTTTTGTTTCGCCCTCAGAATTGCAGACTTCAAACACTTCCATTTTCATGGAAATCAACAGCGAGACAGCTAGCAGGGCGCAGAGGCGCGTGCCAGTTCTGTGTGGAAAGGCACCAGATGGTTTGTTATGAAACACATTTTGGTCAGAAAATAGCTGGGGCTTTTTGGTTCCTGGGAGGACAACAAAGCTAGAAAAAAGGGAGGTGTGAGCTGTGAGAGGTGCGGGTGAGAAGGCAGCTTTGGCGTCAGGTCTGGGTTCTACTCTTGCCTTCACCCCTCCCACGTCTGTGGCCTCCCTTTTCCTGCAGCGACAGTCTCAAAGGAACTTGGTGTTAGGGTTCACACGTTATCCCAGCGAGTGCAGGGGGTGGACTCAGAGGCATCCACACAGACAAGCGATGGACAGAAGAGGGGGCACCGCCAGCTGGTGTGAGGGGGGTGCAGAAGGGGTCCGGCGAGGGCAGCCACACGCAGACCAGACCCACCGTCCCTGTCAGACCCTGGGAGTCACACACAGTTCTTTAGACTGGTTGCAAGCACTTCCGGTACCACAGGGCCTTTGGGTCCTTTCTCAGGGAAGAAGGGCAGAAAGAAAGGCATATGCAAAGCTCCAGGCAGCACCATCGAAAGCCCTCTGGGGCCACACCTGCTGTGTGTGCTTTAAAGTGCCACTGCGTGCTGTCTTTGGTCAGGGTTGCCCCTTCATCTCCAGGGGCACCAGGTGCTGGGGCTCAAGCCCAGGCTGCAGGGGCCCCTGTGGAAGGCAGGTCTGAGGACACGGTCCCTTCCTGTGCCTAAAAGATGAGTAATTCAACCTCTTCAGCAAGAAGCATCCCAGGGAAGTGTGGGTCCTCAGGAGAGAAGGGACGAGAAATGCTTTGGCCGTCGTCCTGACACCCACAGCAGAGGCTGCACGGAGTGAAGGCCGAGAGCGGCTGCCACCTGCGCCTGCCATGCAGGAGTCCTGTCTGATGCAGAACTGGCTTCTGAATTGAACCAGGAGTCAAATAAATATTCAAGGCATCTTTCAGTTCTCAGAGAAAGAGCAGGAAACCCTGCTTGACTGACTGCAGCTTTGCTCTGCAGGCGGCGGTACTGCTGACTGAGGGGGCTGGCTGGGGATCTTGGAGTGGGTCCCCCTCCAGGTGCTTTGGTCCTTCACGGGTCCTGCCAGCCCCAGGTCCTCAGAAGCTGAAGAAGTCATCCTGCTCGGCGCTGCCACTGTCAGGCTTGTCCCAGTCAGTGGGAGAGAGGCACTGGGCGTAGTGGATGTCCTGCACGGTCAGTCCAGTGTCCAGGACCTGAGGGTTCGTCCGGGACTGGGCAAGCCTGGAAGGCAGAGCGGCGTGAGCTGGGGGTGCTGGGCAAGGAGCTGGTGGAGGCCTGAGGTGAGCCTGGCTAGCTCCAGGTCAACCAGGAGAGGGCATGGGCTGGAAAATGCCAGAACATAGGGGCCAAGGAACTCCCAGATGCCAGAAGTAGCCCCTCGACAGAAAGCCCACCCTTGACACTCAAAAAGCTCAGAAAACGGTGGGGCAGGCAGTGGCCTTCCTGCCTCCAAGAGAGGCTGGGGCACCCAACTGCCCAGAGCTCTGCCGGGAAATGCCCAGGAGAGAGAAGGGGCAGCAATAGCAAGGGCAGCGAGAGGGACATGCGTGGGAGGGAGCCTGGAACAACCACAAGCAGCACGGGCTGGAACTATGGTCAACACAGAGTTGTTGGGGAAATGAACTTAAAAGGGGAGACAGGCTGAATGTCTATAGAGTGGGGGAGAATTAATTGCGGCCCATGCCCTTCAGAGTAGCAGGCGGGCACCGGAGAAGGTGGCTGCACAAAGTCTTTTACAGCCTGGAAAAAGGCTTCTGATGCAACCATGTTAAGTGAAAAATCAGGATTCCCAAATGCAACTACGATGAGCTGATGGATGCAAAAAAAAAGTGTATGTGTAGGATTAGCATGAGTGAAGCCCAAATGTCTGGGCTATGGGATTATGGGATGGTGTTATTTCCTGTTTAATGCTTTGCTGATTTTCGAAGTTGTTAATAAAGGGCACATGATACTTGGGTAATCTGAAAAAAGCAAACGCCAAGACTTTCTCCCATCGAGGGGGCTGTAGTCAGCCAGCAAAGCAGAGAAGGTGATAATGTCTCCACGTCCAAGAAGGGGTCACGGTGCCCCAACTCATCCCCCACAGGGTTCAACCAAGCTCCAGCAGGAAATGAGACATGGAGGAGGAAGGTGGGAGGGAAAAGCCCCAACTCTGTTCCCACTCAATGGGCCCCAAGCCACTGGCCCTAATACCAAACAGCCCTGATGCGGGAGAACTGTAGGGGTGGCTGAGGGTCCCAAAGAGAGAGGGGCCTGACTGACCAGGGTCCAGAGCTCAAAACAGCAGCTGCCCAGGCCCCAAGTCAGCCCCAGCCTTCTCGGTGCCATGTCCCCAAGCGGAAGGTAGCCATGGCTACAGGGACGGCCCCTGGGAAAGTGGGGAGATGCCACCACCCTCAGGCTAGACCAAAATATCTCCTCTCTGTGCCTGACATTCTTCCTCCCTGGAATGCTCCATGGGCTTAATTTAAGCATGCCTTCTCCCTGCTCCTTTTCATAAATGCAAAACCTCTGCTGGAAACAAAGCCTGCAAACAGCCACTCTTCGAAGGCTAGCCGGGTGGAGGAGAGCAAATCCACCTGAGCCGCAGCGTGTTTGTTCAGCTCAGATGGTGGTAGCGCAGCCACTAAGTATAGTTTGATTCAACAGGGAGAGGTTTTTGGCAGACCTAGCCAACTCCACACCATCAGCTCCCTGTCCCCAGAGGTATTGGGGGGGGGGGGTGAGATTTTGAAGCCGGTCAGAGTTCGTGTTCTCAGGCTCAGCAAAGGGCCCCGAAGGCCAGCTGGTGGGTGCTGAGCCTTCTTCCCTGGTGCCAGGAGTCCAGAGAACCTTACCTGGAAAACGCTTCGTCCAGGCCGTCATCCAGCTCCTTGGGGAAACAAAGCATGAGACAGGGCTCATCGGTGGGCTAATGCGCGCTCACAGAGGGGCTCACAGAGGGGTAAGCTACAGGGACGGGGGCACAGTGCAGGGGCCTGGCAGGCACCCCTGTGAATGGGCCCACACCACCCCCTACTGGCTGCTGTCACCAGCATCTCAAACCATGGACCCAAATCGGTGACATGGGGTAGGAGGAAAGGGGACATCACTGGTACCTGGAGGCTGGGAGGGTGCAACCCCCGGCTCTGTCACTAATTGCCTGCAACACCTTGGGGAGTCATGGCTCCTCTTTGAGTCTCAGCTTTTCCTTCCCCAAAAGGAGGGGGTCTGAGTGATTTCTATGGCTTTCAAATTTTGAGAAGAGGGTGGGAAGGTTTTCTTGGTTGCATTCACTTCTAAGCACAAGCCAAAATTCCAAGCTCATGAGGGATCACTGCTGGCTGGAAGCCCCACAACCTCGGTGGGGAAACAGGTGAGGCTCTCGCCTCAGCCACCCCGAGGATGACCAGGCAGTAAGGGTGGTTCTGAGAGCAGAGAGCAGGCCTGGACTAACTGCTCAGGGGACAATGCGGCAGGAGGCCCACTGGGCACAAGGCCTGTTTTTCAAGTCCCTCTAAGTCCCAGATTTCTAGAAATTAGAGACACGTGACAAGAAAAGTGAGTGTGACTCTGCAGCTAGGGGGACGCGGGAGGAAGGTGGTGAGGCCTGCAGGTGACACAGCATGTGGGGCCACAGTGAGGGGTTATGTAACACGTTGACATTTGGGGAATCTGGACAAACGGTGAACAGAAATTCCTTATTATGTTTTCATAACTTTTTGTTAAGTCTGAAACTATTTCCAGATGAATTTTTAAATTTTTTTCATAGTCAGGTTCCTCTGGGAGATTGAGCAGGCAGAGTTCATCATCCTCATTGAGGTCAGAGGCCTTGCCCTGAGTCACAGAGCCGGTCAGGGGGCAACTGCCCACTGCCCACATCTCAGGCTCCTCGTTTAAACAGCCAAGGGAGGTGGGATGTCAGGAGCCAACTCTGCCCACGCTGAGAACAAGGGAGCCTTTGGCTGGTCCTGTGGTGGGCAGAGCCGGGGATGCTCAGGCCAAGAGGCCGGCATTGTGAGGAGACAGCTGTGCCGGGAGCCAAGTCTGTCGGGATGCAGCCCCGGGTTCAAAGGGGACATTGTTCATTCCCTTCCCTGGGTGCTACTGGGCTGGGTCTGCCCTTCCAGAGGCCTACAAGGCATGGTGCAGGGCCTGGCCCCTGGAGCAGCCTTAGGCCTCATCCAGGCATCAGGATGAGGCTCGCTGGATCCCTGTGGGGCCCCCCAGGCAACAAGACCACTCACCCAGACAACACTGCTGTTGCTCAAGGTTTGAGGCCGTGGTGCTTCGTCCATGTTAGCAGTGTTAGCGCTGACCGTGGACAGCGGGGCCTTGGCCGTCTCTTCCAAGTCCAGCAGGTTCCCAGTTGCAACCACTGTGAGGGGTTCAGTCAGGTGTGTCAGGGAGAGCAGAGCCTCCCATCTTCAGGACCCATCTTGAAGCGCCATTCTGAATCCTTCCAGGCTGTCCTGGTCCTGACTCCCTCCTGCGGCATGGCCTTCCCCAGACCTACCCCCAGGCCACCAGCGCCCCAGCGTGGCACCACCTGAAGTAGTTGGACAGCTGCCCACGGAGTGAGAACCTGCCCCCCACCAGTGATGCAGACTGGGGCATCTCTATTCCCTGGCCATGTTGACATCTTTAAGCGCCCACACGGCAGGGCGGAGAGTGCATGAGAGCTGTGCACATGGCTCTACACGGCTGTGCAGGGACATATCTGGAAGAACATGCACTAAAATGAGTCATTTTTTCTCTTTATGCACATTTTCTAATTTATCTACAATAAAAATGTATTACTTATTTAACAACAATACAAAAATAGAAAATCAAGAGTATGCCCCAGGCCAGGCAGCCGGATCCAGCCTCCCCAGCCCAGCCCGAGACTCACGGCTCTTCAGCGAAGGGGTGCTGTCACAGCGGCCCCCGCCCAGGACGTCTCCTCCCTCTTGGCCGGCCTTCTCCCTCTTCTCCTTCTCTGTGGGACCAAGGCACAGTGCACTGGAGCCTCCAGCCCAGCGCCCGACCCCAGCACTGCATTCCCAGCAATGGCTGGGCAGGGGAGACTGGCCAATCTCGGGCAGGTTTACGTTTTCAGCAGGGAGGAAACAAACTTTTCAGGTTTCATTTAATCCTCACAAGCACCCTGGGGGAGGGAGACAGCTGTTCCCATGTCTTCAGATGGGGAAACTGAGACTCAGAGAGGTGAAGTGACCTGTCCAAAGTCATAAACCAGGCAGGTGATAAAGAGGGGAGTCGGTCCAGGCCCGACTTCAGGGGCTTTACCACCCCTCCCTGCCCCACACTACCCTGAGCCTGCAACACCCTCTCACCTCCACCAGCCCACCCACAATGTCCTGTTGCAAGACTTACCTTCCTTAGACGCCTGCCAAAACTCAAAGGCAACTTTGAAGGCCTGGGCCACTGTGAGGGTGACAGCCTGGGCCTGGAAAACAGGAAGTGGGGGGGGAGGGGTGCAGTGTCAGGCAGGTACCAGCAAGACTGAACTGGAGGCCTGGGGATGCCAGGCCAGGCCTGCACGGGCTCCCTCCCTTCCTCCCTGCAGCGTATGAAAATCCAGGGCCTTTAATGCCTGAAGTGGAGGCAGAGTCCTGGGCCGTCTCAGGTCACCAAAGCAGCCAGGGCGTAATGAGGCCACACCCTCCCCAAGCAATGTAGCCCAGTCATAGTTCCCACCCTCATTCCAGGAAAGGAGCAGGAGGCTTATGCATTTCTTGGCAGGACTAAGATGTCAACGAGCAATCTGTGGCAGGGGACCAAAACCACCTAGTGCCATCACTTACCTCTAAGGATGGGCCACCCCTGGGCCCTTCACCCCTGGAGAACTCCACCCACCCAACTGAAAGGAAATTCAAACAGCACCAGCACTGGGTTCCCACAGCCCTGCCTGCCATTCTCTGGCATCATGCTTATGCAAGTCACCAACTCACAGGTCTGTGCCACCCAGCTAGGTGCTTCCTATATAGGCAAGAATCAAGTCTGCACACCCGACCCCCAGAACAGGTCAAAGCTCCTGCTGGTTGAATTGCACCTGCCCAGGGGGACAGGCCTCCCCTGGCTCATATACACTCCAGCCAGGACCTACCCCCTAGGCCATCTTCATCTTAGCTACTTCTTTTCTGGACTCTGGTTCAGGACTGATAAGCTCAGCTTCCAGGAGAGGAAGTCCCAGAGCTTGAAACTATGGCTGGAAGCCACATTTCGCTTCTTTTGCAAACCCTGGCCTAGAGCAGCAAGCACCAGACGCCCAAGTGCACAAGTTCAGGCCCACCAGCCGTGGCCCCACTGCCTTCCCCGCCACCAGACAACTCAATTTAATTGAGAAATGAATCTGTGGTTACTGCATTTAAAATTCCTTTTGCTTTTTTTAAAATTTAAAATCCCTAAACAAGCTGACTGATCCATGCCAATTAAACCTCACGAAGTATAAAATCTCATTTGAATGTCTCCGTCATTTACATTTTTGATGGAAGTACAGCGCTTTATGGCAAAACTTAAATATGGTAATTAAGTATGAAACTCTTCACAGCTGTTTACAATTTAATCTGTCACGTCTGAATCAAGTTTAATAGGCCCAGTTACCATTGAGAATTGCCCATGAACTAAAAATATGGGCTAATTACCAGCCGGAGTCAGATCACTATATACCCAAGCAAGAGTTGGTCACCCAATGTGGCACTGAGATGGAAACACCATTATTTTTTGCCTCCAGGAAATTTGGGGGCACACGCCTGATCCTGTTTTTGCATAAATCTGCTTGTTCATTTGCATACATTCCTGCCCTTTTGCCCTGATGTTTCGAGCCGCAAGTTAAACTAAATATGAGCCATGATGTGGCTGCATGCAGGTGGCTGCAAGCACAGGCTGGGCTAAGCTGGGAAGGGGTGGGCCCTGCTTTCTCAGAGGCTGTAGGAATCTGGGCAGCACAAGACAGAAGGGCTGCTCTGGCCTGCCCCCAGGACATCCGCCTTCCTTGATTCTACTGTCCCTCCTCTCAGTGCCTGTGGCCTGTGGGTCTCTCTTATTACCCTGAGCAGATCTGACTCATTCAGTTATTTCTGCCCTGTCGAGCTGCCAGTAGCCAGGCTGTTAGCTCCTCAGCAGGACCAGGACCCCAGGATTCTCAGATCCCAGCCCAGTACTTAGACCAACTTGGGCACATGCCCACTACTGCCCCATTATCCCAGAAACGTAAATCCCTTGCACAAAAGGATTACCCAAGAAATGCCAGTGGCCACGTGAGGGAGAACAGCCCTCCCCTTCCTGCCCTGGGAGAACTGGGAGGTATCACTTTGTTTACTGTTAGCTCACCGGCACTGGAACCCTGGGCTCCCCGCCAGTGCCGGCAGTGCCACCTTCACTGCAGAGCGCAGGGGCCAAAGTGCTGGCTGCGATCTCCCAGTCAGGCAGATGGAAAGGTTTCTTTGAGAGAAGCTTATCCTGGCCATGCAGGAAGAGCCACTGGGGAGAGGCTTGGTGGTTGTGCTGCTGAACTGGGGTTGACACAGAAAGAAACCCCATCCCCCCTCTCCCTTGCGATGGCCAGCAAGGAAAGGTGGGGGAAAGGTGCGGAGACTCTGGGCCCTTGGTGAAAGGAGCGAGGGCTACATCAACACCCCTCCGCCTGGGAGCCAGCCACCGGCACCAGTGACACTGGGCTCACCCACCAAACTCAAGGGCACCTCCCGCACATGCGAACTCCTGAACTGAAGGGCAGCCACCCCCTCACTAACCCCACTTCCCTTCCTCTGGGCTTGGCAAACTCCTACTCATCCCACAAAATCCAATTCAAAATGTCTACTCTGGGAAACCTCCTATCTCCAAAGAAACTTAATAGCCTCCACCCTGGAACTGAGCCACCTGGGTTCCAGGCTCTTCTGGCTGGCACTGCCATGGCCAATCCCCCGGCCCTCAAGCCTGACACAGGAGAGGCAGCACCAAACACACCTGAGAAGCTACCTGGCAGCAGCGGGGTTGGAGAGCCTGAGGTAGCCACTTTTCCTTCCGCCTCCCCTGAAACTTCCACTCTGCCCTGAGGACCTGGAGTTTTCATCCTGGCCACACCATGAGGCTAACAACACCCTGCCTGGGTGGGGCCCGCTAGGCCCTGAAGCCACAAGAACATCACCCTGGCATCTGGTGGCGTAGTCATTGGGCCATCTCTCCAAGGGGCCTCTCTGGGCTCCCTCAAGAGGGGAGCCAGCTGGGAAGAGTGAAGGAGGAGCCGCGCTGCAGTCTCCCCAACTCCGGGAGCATGTGAGCAAAGCACGGGGTCTGGGCCAGCAGCAGCCCAGCCCTCTGCCTGAGCACGCGCTATCAGCACCACCATCCTCTTCAGGAGCTGGCCTGTTGGCCTGGGGGCAGGCTATTTGGTTAAAGCCTGTCTAAAGTCCTCTGGCCCCAGGCCAGGCCTCCCTTGAATCACTGAGCCAAGCTCCCCAATCCAGAGGAAGTCTCTGCATCTTGGGTCCCTCCCACCTAGGGCCCACATTGCAACAACAGTCCGGACCAGCTGCCCAGAGCCTGCTCTGGTCGGTGGGGAGGAAGAGACAAACAATGCGGACATAATGAGCTTATATTTTTAAGTCTCTACTGGCCTCCTAAGAGACAAGGCCAACAGCCAGTGGACACTAGGCTGTTTGGGAGAAGTCACAGCAGCTCAGGGACCTGGGGCATCACGAGGCCCAGAGTGGGGAGGTTGGGGGGGGGGTCAGTAACACTGAATCTGCAGGAAACAAGCACACAAAAGAAAACAGGACCTTCCAGAACAATCCTGCAGGTCACTGAGGGCACCTTCTCAACCCCTAATGGTAAGTAGCCCAGAGAAGGGCAGGGTCTTATCCACAGTCGCACAGCACATCAGCCAGGTCCAGACCCCTGGTCTGCCTCCTCCCAGACAGCCCAACTGTAGGCTGAAATGTGGCCACCCCAGGCAAGATGTCCGACCCAGGCCCTGGGACCTGTAAATGCTTCCTTCCATGGCAAACGATACTTTGCAGGTGTGATTAAGGATTTTGAGATGGGGGACTGTCCTGGATTACCCGGTGGGCCCAATCATAGGGACCTTGTGAGAGGGGGGCCAGAGGGTGAGAGTCAGAAAAAGCAACATGACAACAGAGGCAGAGAGGGAGACGGGAAGATGCTACACTGCTGGCTGTGAAGGTGGGGGAGGGGGGAGCACAAGCCAAGGAATGCAGGTGGTCTCCAGAAGCTAGAAGAGGCAGGAAATGGGATCGCCTCCAGAAGAGACACACCCTGCCAACTCATTTTCGACTTCGAACCTCCAGAACCAAGAGAAGAATTTGTGTTGTTTCAAGCCATTGAGTTTGTGTTAATTTCTCAAGAGCAGCAACTGGAACCTTGTACCACCTCTGGAGAGGCCAGATGGGTAGCAGAAAGCTGGGGGTGGGAGAGCGGTGATGCCCCTGAAGCACACCTGGTGCCCGGGGCAGGGGAAGACCTTGTCGTCTTGGCCCCAAGGACCACAGGGCGTGGAGACTCCATACACAAGGTTCACAGAGGCCAGAGCTAAATCCATACGTGTTGGGAGCCCCCGTGCAGGGAGGACACTCAGACCTCAGGAGCCTCAGAAAATAAAGCTTCATCCCACAGGTTGACCCCTGCTGGCTGCTGCCCCAAAGTATAAGACAAATGCCCAGAAACCACTGAGGTTCCTGAGCCCCGGGCAGAGGTGGCTGGGCGTGGTCTGCATAGGGGGCAAGGCACTCTTCAGGGCACACAGGGATGGGAGGCAAGTGGGTCACTCTGCCTGACTGGCTGTGTCATCTTCACCAAGATAGCTGACCGAACAACAAAGACAGTAACAGCTCCCACTGCACAGAGCAGTTGTGGGGATTCAACGAGAAGACACCTTCACGCTGACCACTGAGCAGGCTCACAGTAGGAACACAAAATGGCCATTCCCACCACAGAGGCTGAGTCCTCTCAGGGCTTGCGTTTTGCCCTTCGCCACGGCCCCTCTGATCGCCAGTCCCTAAGGACTCGTCCCTATAAGGCCCTGCACCCTGGACTAGTGACAGAAGACCCCCAAAATCTCAAACCCAACAAATCACATTATAGAGAAGGGGCCCAGGGCATTCACTGGGAATTCAGGCTGTTCACAGACCAGAGGCTAGGCTGGCCAGTGGGCAGCTCCTGTGACAGGTCACCCACCTGACTGCAGCCCCCTCAGTTCAGCACCACTGGGGGTTCCAAGATTTCAAACATTTATGTGATCATCACTTTTGGGTCTTGCTCCCGACCACACAGGGCCCCCAAGGGCAGAGCTGCCAAAGCAAGGTCGGAGCCCGCCCAAGTCCCAGCCCCTCTCCACTGACCATCTTCCGCTTGGTGCAGAGGAAGGCGTGGCACTCGAGATTCTCATTGTGCTGGCTCTGGGCGATGTATGCGAATACTTTGTCATGCATCTTGTCCGCTGTGCAGTAGGAGATCCTGAAAGGCAGGTGGGAAGTGTCACCAGACCCCAGCATGGGAGTTTGACCACATCCAAGATGACCCACAGGGCATCTTGCCTGAGTTCCAGAGAGCCTGCTATCCCACACCAACAGGAAGAGATTCTGGAGAAGCGGCCTTGGCCTCTAAGCTAGCATCCTGGACCATCCCTCACTATGCAGGAAGGAGGGTGGGTAACAACTGGAAGGAGGGTACCTTCCCCTCTACTAAGCCATACACCCAAACAGTAATAGCGGGGCTCTTACTGCACACCAGACCAAGAGCAGTGCAGATATCATCTCCTGTGCCTTATGTAGCCCCAGCTTCAAAGACAGTCACAGACATGGGGGTGAACCAGTAAGACCCCTAAGCAGGCAGAGGGAGAAACTCTAGGTGCCCAAATGCCTCTTCTCCATGCCAGGGGATCCAGCCTCCTCCCACCTCCAGGAAGGTCTTCTTTGGCTTCCCCGGGCAGGCCCCTCCTTCTCTGTCCTCTTGGGAAACACTTAGACGCTTCTGTCCATTTCTTCCCTCCATTCCCTCCTAGAATGGAAGCTCCTTGAAGGCAGGAGCTAGATCTGATTCCCCCTCCCCACCCCGGCAGATTACATTGGTTAAAGGAGAGGCAGAATCAAGAAGATGAAAGGAAGACTCCAGCCAGAAACTCTAAAACCACCCCTCAAAACACGTACGGGCTTGTGCTCCAGCCAGCTGAGCCATCTGCGTGGCGACAAAGCAAAAGACAGGGGAATGCCTGGCGGGAGGGAGTCTGCTGGATTCTGCAGTTTAGTGTCCTGGCCCCAGCTCAGCCACTACCTCACGTGAGGCCTGGGGCAACTCCCTCTCTGGGTCTCCACTTGTAAAACAGGCCTGGGCTGTCCCTTCCAGCTCTGAAGCTCTACAACTGACAGCTGAGAGAACGATGGGGCTAGCCTGAGGCTCCAAAGACTGGGCTCTGCCTCCCTGTGAACAAGGGCACCCCCTGAGAGAGATCATCTACAGATGACTCAGGCTGCCTGAGGCCTCCCTGGCCGCTGGGCCAGCTGTCCAGTGCTACAGAAGGCAAAGGCAGTGACTCTGCAGCCCTCTGCTCCAAGCCTGATTCAGCACACGTCTGGGGGAAGGGGCCAGGTTGGGGTGAGGGGGCGCAGTGAGGCTGGATTAGGTCTCAGCAGCCTGCTGTATCCAGAGATAATGACAGTAGCAACTGCCATCTAACCAAGTGCCCGTGGTGAGCCAGGTGCTGTGCAACAGCACTTCAGGCAGATCTGTTTCCACCCCACTGACAGAGGAAAGTAAGGCTCCAAGGTCACCCCCACGGGAAGCAGCAGAGTCTAGATTCAGATAGAGCTCTCCACCCACCACCCCAAGTGGCAGAGGGGGCAGAGGCAATGCTGAGCGTACCTGTAGATGGACACGTTCTCAATGAGCTGGTTGGTGATGCTGTCGGTCAGGATAATCCCCCGCGGCGACACCTTGAGAGTCACCTTCTGCAGCTTCTTCCCACTGGCCTTGGCCTTGGGACAGACATAGATCAGAGGGGCCTGCCTGACTCACCTGGGGGCCCCCCTCTGGGCGCTAGACCCCAGACAGGAGGCCCATGTGAGGCCTGAGCCTAGGTAACTGGCCGGTGCCACAAGGAAGACAGCTGGGACAGCACCTCTCGCAATACGGTCAGGGGCAGCAGGCGCTCGATGAGCAGCTGCTGCCCGCCAGCGTGGGACCTCCAGTCACCCTCACGGCAGGAGCGCTTCTCCCCAGAGGAAAGGGACTCAGAGAGGCCAAGGGACTTGCCAAGGACACACAGCTGGGAGGGACATCAGATGCTGAGCACCCAGTGGACTACCACAACCCCAGCCACTGCACCCGCCACAGCCTGAGCTGCGGGGGTTCCAGGCCACCTAGGGAGGGAACTGAAAGGGCCATGGCAGCTCAGAGGTGGGAGGGGAAGCTCCGTCTCTGGTGTGCTACCCTGTCCCTCAGGTCATGGGGCAATGGTTGGGGGATGGCAACCTCCCCATCTTCGCACCCTGGTGCTGCTAAGTCACCACTGTTTAGGCAGGAGCCTGTGCTGGGGGGAGTCATGGCCATAACAGCTGGAGAGGACACTCACCCTGACTCCACATGCCTGCCAGCTCCCCTCTGCCAGCTTCCCCCCACCCCCGCCGTCCAGATGCAAGGGGACTCGAGGGCAGTGGCAACTCAGACATGTGCAACTAGAGTACAGGGTGGGGACAAGCAACACCCTGGGGAAGAGCTGACCCTTGGCTCATGGTCCCCACCCCCTCGGGACTGGGGTCTCACCGTGGCCACAATCCTCTTGACAGCTGCGGCCGACAGCTCCTCGCCCTTGGGCTGCTCCACCAGCGTCATGCCCAGGTACTTGAGGCTGAAGAGCATCCCCTCGAGCAGCGTTTCCCGCGTGTCTGTCCAGTTCTCAGGCAGCTCTGGACAGGAAGAGGATAGGCTCTCAGACCCGCTGGCCCCCCACAGCACGGCTCTCACCAGTCCCCAATCCCCAGCAAGACCTGGTAGGGGGCACTGGCCTCCCACCCCCTACTACCGTTATTTTTATTTTTTTTTTAAGATTTATTTATTTATTTATTTATCTATTTATTTATTTATTTATTTATTTATACAAGCACTGGGTACAGTCAGAAGCGTGGGAGGGTGAGAGGATTCACCAGAGCCAGAGCGGGGAGCAGAGCAGGCAGACTGACGAAGTACACTGCTGAGGGGAGCAGCGGGCGAGACAGGAGAGGTCTGCGCGCCATGTGGGACCCTTGCCGGTGGCCGGGGATCGAACCGGCGCTGCAGAGGCTGCGGGCAGTTTCGCAGCCCAGCGCTCAACCGCTGCGCCACCAGGGGAGGTCCTGTTATTTTTATTTTTAACCAACACTTCCCAGTACATATCAAGCACTGTGGTTAAGAAGTTTTACACAAAATATTCTTTATCTTCACGAGAACCCAGGAGATAGGCACTCTTATCATATCCATTTATAGACACTGAGGTCCCGGAGGCGAAATCACATAACCAAGTCCACAGAGGCAGCGAGTGCAAGAGCCAAGGTCAGAACTTATTTTCAAATTGGAAGCCAAACTCTTAACTTCAACGCTAATACCTGTGGAAGGCAAAGCATGCCATTTTCTTACTGAATCTTCAGCGCAATCTGCAAAGTGAGGTGGATATTATTCCACTTCACAGATTAGGAAACTAAGGCTGGAAGAAGTGAAGTCATCAAAGGCCTCAGACGATGATTAAAGGGTTGAAGTGAGAATTCAACCTATGTGGTCCCGTGACTCCAGCCTGCTCTGCTTTCCTCCACCTGCACAGCTGAAGAACCAAGAGGTAGCTGAGACCGCAGCCCAAGGAGAGTGGGTGGGGGACAGGGAGCTGACTGCTCAAAGGACGTCAGATAAAGGCCACCTGAATCCAGCAGACTGGGCTTGGCCTTGCAATCCTGCTTCCCACCCCCGCCTGGTCTTGGGGAGTCTCCTCGCCTTTCCTCTTTGAGACTAACAAAGAGCACACACGTGGAAGGTCCTTTGAAAACTAGCCAAGACCAAGGTGAGGAAGGCTAGGAAAGGAGGGGATGAGCCTGGCTCTCTGGGCAGGGAAGCTCACCAGCAGGCGTGTTGGAGGAAGGACTGAAAGGGGCACCCACCTGGCCCCATCCACGGGCAGAGGCTCTGAGCAGACAGAGGGCCTGGAGGGAAGCGTAGTCATCATCAGGGGTTTTAACCGCAGCAGGCTTCCTCCCCAAGGGCTGAAGCCCAGGGCATTGGCTCACTCAGCTAGGAAGCAAGGAGGTCAGAACGGGAAGGCCTCTAGGACCCCTCCAAGTGCCATCACTAGGACCAGTGAACACCCACAGTCCTTGGCCTGTGGCTTATCATTCTCTCGCAGATGCTGTAATTATAGGAGGGATTATAAATGTGCCCGTTTCACAGATGAGGAACTGCACTTTAGTGTCACACACAATCTTGGATAGGACAGGATCCAGGCAGGAATCAACCTCCAGGGGCCACCAAAGAGGTGGCAAGGGCCAGCTTCCCTCAATGAGTTTCTGGAGGGGAGCTGGAGAAATCCAGCACCTTTCCTGCCTCCTCCAGGGGCCTCATTAAGTAACCCTACCGGAAAAGCCACATGAAGAAAGCTTACAAGTGTCCACTGCTGTTGTGAGGGCAGCTGATGCCGTGCCAGAGCTATGGGTTCCCCCTGCAAGGCAGAGCCCAGCTCCTGGCTGGTCAGGACTTGAGATCTGGGCCCACGTGGCACCACTAGGCCCTCTACCGGGTAGGTCCTGCACAACCCCCGCCTAGTTCCTGCCCTACAACTCTTGGCTTCCAGTGGCTCTATCTCCTCCACTAGCCAGGGGAACCTTGTATATCCATGTCTCTGCATTTGACTTGCGGCAGCAACTTGTTCCTCTCTAAGGCTGTTTCCTCATGTGAAAAAGAATGCATGTGTGTTTGAGGGCTGGGTCACACAAGAGATTACAGGTGTACCCAGCCTTCCCCTGTCAACTGAAATCCAGGTGAGCAGGGACTCATGGCCTGGCTTGCCACTGGCACTTAATACGTGCTGAGCCAAGGGATGACCTGGATAACCCCAAGGCTTCTTTCAGGCCTAAAATGCCTCTAACCCCAACCTTGGCTCTGTCACCTGGCTCACTGCCTGCTCCAATCCTTGCTCTTGAACCTCTACCCCAACATAAGGCCCAGCCCTACAGTGATGACTCCAAATGGGTCTGACCCATCAACCACCCTTCCCTTCTCACTTCTTAGTTCACCCATTTTATTTGCTCCTCCAAAGAGAATAAGAAAGTCCCTGAGATGTCCCAGTCCTAGGCTGGGTGATGGGGCATGGGCCTTGCCATCAAAGAAGCAGAGACTCAAAATCATCAAGGCAAAGCAAAGTCATTAGGGTAATGAAGACAACAACAACAACAAAGCAGCCTTCCCTTTACCTGTAACACTCACAGCTACCTTGCAAGCAGGCACTCTTTCTTCCCCATTTCACAGATGAGGAAACTGAGGCTCTATGGACAAGTAATTCTGACTCAAAAATGCCCACATTCCTGATGATTAGGCCATATTACCTTCCTATAAACAAATACCTTATTTTTAGCAAAAGGTCAGAGAAAAGATCCTGGAGTCGTAGGCATTTCCCCCCACAATTCCTAATTCCTGAGGTGTCCCTCTGTAGGTCAACACACCCCGACTACCATTTTCTACCCAAGATCCGTCTCAGCATAGATGGCAAACTGCAAGCTGCCATGTCTGTCAACTGTGTCCTTGGCAGACATTGCTAATCAAGCGCAGCTCCATTTCCCTCTGATTTACACAGGACTGTTTCTCAACACAAGGCTCCAGGCAGGCAATACCAATAGATCAGGGATAGTTGAGTTCAGCTCATTATCTGTCCCGGCTCTACAGCAAACATCCTTCCTCCCCCCCATTTTCATGTCCCCACTCTCCCATTTCCTCTGACTTGGCCCTTTCCTGGCTCCTGTCCAAAGTCACTTCCGCTCCCTCCATTCCAAAGGGCCAAAGCTTGCCAAGGTCGCGGACAACCTCTTTGCTGTCAAAATATTTCCCGGTCCTCCTTGACCTCTGAAATATTTAGCATTTTTCTGCATTCCTCCTTGCTGGCCTGACCCTCCCTCTAATGCCGCCCAGAAAAGAGCCCTGGTCGACTGGTCACCCGCTAGCCCCAGAGACCCTCTGCCCAAACCCCATCACAAGACAGACGAAATCGCGGCCCAGAGAGGGCAAGGACTCGTGCAAGAGTCACAGCGATTCCGAGGATCACCCACCCCATGGCCCAATCCACTACAGACAGTTCCCACAATGACTGCCGGGGAATTCTAGGTGCCCCACTCTCCTCCACACAACATTCCTGCACACACGTGTGCACACGCACACACAACAGCAGCTCCGGCCATGCAGAGCTCCTTCATGATGTGATTTGTACTTTCCAGGGCTGTGCCTTTGCTCAAGGAGTTCCCTCCACCCAAAACACCCTGCCCTTCTTGTGACTCCCCTCCGGCCTCCTCCAGGAAGTCCTCTTGGAGGCGCAAGCCTAGTGGTTAAGAGCAAGGGTCTTCATTCTAGAAGTGCAGTTCTGATACTGAATGCTCTTGAACGGGACAATTACCTTCCCTGTGCCTGTTTTCTCATCTATAAAATGGGGGAAACGACCGTTCCTTGGCTCACAGGGCTATTTTGGATGAAATAATAACATGAGATGAGGTAATAATATGGAACACGCTTAGCAGGGGGCCCTGCCCTTGGAAGGGGCTCAGTAAACGTTACTCCAGGGCCTCATCTGCTGTCAGTGGGTTGCTTGTGTCTGAGTGAGGATTGCAGTCTCTTCCTCTGGCAGCCACATCACCCACAGCCAAGCAGCTGCCTAGCATGTGTCTTCCCCTTGAAGGACTTCCGTTTGTGTCTGCCTCCCCCAGGAATTGCCCAATGTTGCTGTCCTGACTCGCCCTACTTTCTCTTCTCCCTCCAGCCCCATCACCCTGGCCTCCCAGGCCCAGCCAGGATCCTCCTCCCTCTCTGGGGAACCCTGCCTTGGTGCCTGTACTTCTGAGCATGACTCATGTCCTCCCTGAGGTGTGAGGAGGCTGGCATGCCTCGCCCTCCCTGCAGAGAGCAGCACCTAGGAGCACCCAGTAAAGCCAGACACTAGGGTTCACCCCACACCTGCCCTGCTCACCACCCAGCCACCTCAGACAGGCTGGAGATCACAGCTCTTCCCAGGAGGAGCTCCCAGAGGCGCCAGGCAAATACAGGCCTGAGTCCACTGCCCAGTTCTGTTTTTGGTTATTTTTGGCCCCCTGGTAGCTAATGACTGCGCTATTTTAACTTTGCAATTTTCAGACAACCCACTGTCAGAGTTAGCTGGGGAGAGACCATGTGCTCAGCTAACTTGCAGCTCTGAACATGTGCTTTCCTCGTTAAGGCCCCTTGTCCAGGAGTCAGAACTGGACAGGGCACCCCAGGCCCTCTCTGCTGCCCTGGCCTGGGTGCTATTTGGAACATCGGTGCTGCAGCCACCCACAGGGTGGTTGTGAGAATGAAGCGCTCCCACATGAGGGAGGTGAGGTCCAGAACCATGCCTGGTACATACCAAGTGCCACTGAAGTGTGAGATACTGCCAAACATCAAGGGCAAAAAACCTGAATGTGTCAACAGTCCTTTGCAGTATTTTTATAAGAATCAAAGACTAAAAATAAGAAAAGTCAAGGATATAGCCACATTCCCATTGCAGAGATAAAGCAGAGGATTCTGGTCACACTTGACAGTGCTGCCCTTGAACCCACAGGGGCCAGGCTCAGGATCCCCCAGAAGGGGCAAGCATTCTGCCCTGCAGGCTGCCGGAAAGGAGTGTCTGGCTCACCTCACCCCTTCTAGCCACACACGCCTTCCTCACACACCCCTTCCTCGGTGGCCAGACCCATGAGAAGCACAGGCCAGCCTCCAGTTAAATGTCCCCTGCCCTTGCTGTCCCCTCGGGCTGGAACACTGTTCCCCATTCCCCTCCTCAGATCCACAAGTGTTTATCTCACCTCCTCTGAAAGGCTCCCCCGACTCCCTGGGGGAACACTACCTGTGCCCCACCTTTCCCCTCGGGCTACCGTTTCTAGACACCACCTCACCGCAGCTTCCTGCCCCTGCAGACTAGGGAGGCTTCACGAACTCCCATCCCATGAACCTGCTGCTAACGCGCACTGCCCGGCAGAGGGAATAACTCTGAGTAGCACGCTTCTCCTGGGGTCTCCCACGGGCTGGCACCCCAGTCTCTCACGTGATAATTTGCTTTATTTTGTCTACTTTGGGGACTCTCTTCTTTTTTCTCACTTCTAGTGATATTTCCTGGGATCTCTTCCCAAATGAATGACGTGCACTCAGATCCTTGTCTCACTGTCTACTTAAGAACCCAAAGGAAGACACCGCCTTATCTAGGGAAGCGGCCCCATCATTTCTTCACACCGCTTTATCTTTCTCCACAGTAGCACCACTACTCCTATCATACTGCTTATCTGCCCCCTGGCCTTGCAGTCTGTCTTTCCCACCAGAGGGTCCAGCACGAGAGGAACAGAGACTGACTTGCTCACCAGACTCCCCAACACAATGTCTCCATGCCTGGACTATATATCTTTTATTATAAATATTAAAAATAAGTGTGAATAGCTCCTGTCCCTGCTGACCCCCAAGAACTAGCTGCCCCTAATACTTCTTTATCTCTCCTCAAAGAATTCTCTGGCAGCCTGGCACACTCCACAACAGAGCCCAAGGGTCACAGGGACCCTAGTACCTTTATTTTTTTTTTAAGATTTATTTATTTATACAAGAACCGGGGTACAGGCCAGATGCACGGGAGGGTGAGGGGATTCACCAGAGACAGAGCGGGGAACACAACAGGCAGACTGACATAATACATTGCTTAGGGGAGCAGCAGGTGAGACAAGAGAGGTCTGCCGCGCCATGTGGGACCCCGGGATCCAACCAGTGCTGCAGAGGCTGCAGACAGCTTCACAGCGTGGCGCTCAACCGCCTGCGCCACCAGCCCCTAGTACCTTCAGAAAGAAAGATACTAAGTGGTCAGGTGAGCCACCTGTCCAGGCAGCTGGAAGCTGGAAGAAAGGAAAATTCCTGGCCAGGGACTAAAATGAAATATTCATGGTTCTGGAAGAGATGGAGGGAAAGTCAAGTGTCCGGGAGGGAGAGGGAGAGCAGTCATACTGAGAGACAGGAGACAAGGGATTCAGTGCAAAGATGCCTGGGGTGTTGGCTTTGCTGTGTGTCCTCAGGCAAGCTGCCTCCATTCTCTGGGCTTCAGTTTCTCACAAATAAAACAACAGCCATACTAATTACAAAGAAAGACTGGGGTGGGGGGGCGAGGGGTTGGTGGTGAAGAGTAGGTCACAGCCAACAGCAGGTATCAAGTCCAACCTTAACTACACTGGCTTCAGTTTGGCCCCAAAGCTCAATCATAGACTTTTAGGGCAGGGACACCAGCCCAGGCCAGGCCGTCCCAATACCCCGCCCTGGACACACCCCACAGGGCTTCCCTCTGTGGCTACTGCAGTCTTCAGGGGCTGCCAACCTGGGGTGGGTCCTGGCCCTAGCTCCTCCCATGGCCAGAGTCCAGGAGGTACCCTGGCCTGGGAATTTGGACAGCGGCCTCAGAACACCTGCCTTGGGGCTAGTAAATCCACTTCCCTCCTTTATCTCTCAAATGCCTCTGATGATAAGAATCCCTGCTCCGTCACCTCTCAGGAATGGAGGAAAAAAAAAAAGCAAAAACACCGTGTAAGACACAGGAAGTGACAAAAGCAGGAGTTACCATTTATTGAATTCTTTATGCCCGAAACACACTTCCATTTCACCCCCACAAACAACATCTCAGATGGGTACTATTGTTATTTACAACTTACAGATGAAGAAACTGAGACTTAATAACTAGATGGGGATGTATTCTGGGTCCAGAAGGACCCAGGGCAGCTAGCTGGGCCCTAGGGTGGGGGACTCTGTGAGGGTGATGGGCTCTTCTCTCCTCTGCAGGTATAGACAGGATGAGCCCACAAAACTCGTCCCACTACAGTAATAGTCACACCAAAGGCCTGCACAACAGGCAGAAGGACGGGGAGTGTGAGAGAAGGAACTCACCAGTCAGGTGCCAGGAGAAGACTTATTCTCAATAACCTCCTCAGCAACGGGCACTGAGGTCACATTTTTTCTCCCCTCTTTGCAGAGGAGGAAACTGAGGACCAGAAAGGGCAAGTGACTTGTCTAAGACCAGAGCAGGCAGCAGAAACACTTTTCCACCATCTACCCCTTCCCCAGGTTAAGAGGGACTTGTAAATCTCCCTCCTTGCTAGGTGCCCTCTCCTCCCCCATCCCAGGAGAAAGTTGCTGAATTCTCCACTGGAACAGACGTCATTCTGAGAAGCCCTGGTCAAATCCCACATATGTTTAAAGCTACTTTGGGAATCTGTGAGATGGAGATGGGGCATCCCTGGCCTGCTGAGGCCCAGCCCTAGGGGTCTCTGACCCATCCACAGCAGACACCAGCCCATGCTCCCAGTGCCAATCTTGGTTTAGGAGGCACCACAGCTGGAGCAGCAAAGTGGGGCAGGAGGAGGGTCAGGGCCAGCTCTCTAGGCCTTGACACGCTGGCACTCCAGGGCCGAGGGATCTCGGGCTCCCCTGGTGGAGCCCTGGATGGCACGGGGGAAGGGGAGGGGGTGATTGTGCTGTCAGTGGGGGAGAGGCCAGGGTCCAAGGCAGTTGGGAGGGGGAGTGGGGTCCTGGGCTTTGGTTCCCCATCTACCAGGAAGGTCTGCTGCCCTCAGACAAGCCACTTCGTCTCCCCTAGTGAGAAAAGAGGGACTTGGGCTGAGTTTCTCAGGCCTCAGGGGAACGTGCCAGGTGAAGAGCTCCCTGAGAGTAACAGGAGAAGAGGAGAGGCGGGGAGGAAAGGGGCCGGGCGAGGCGCCTCTCAGCCTCCCCGACGCCCCGGGGAGAGGCGGCGGCGCCTGCCCGAGCCCGGGCGCCCAGGGACTCGAAGCCCGCGGGGGCCGGTGCGCGAGAAAACAGGTTCCAAACGCAGCTGGGAGGCGGCCTCGCGGCGGGCCTCGGCCGGGAAGGTCGAGGAGACTAGGTCACCCGCGTGCGACCCGCTGAGCCCCAGGCTGCGTCTGCTCCCACCTCAAGCAGGTTCCTGCACCCCAAGCTCGCACCCACGTCTGTTTCTGCGCGCCCAGAAAGTCGGGCTGGACGGAGACGGCTGCAAGTGGGCGCCCGCCGGCCCGCGACCTCTCAGCCGGGGCGCGGGGTGCCTTCGCCCCCCCCCGCCCCCCGCGCCCCCCGCGCCCCGGCCGCCCCGCGCGGCCCGCAGAGGGGGCGCCGGGGTCCCTCCCGCCTCGCGCCCGCAGCCCCCCACCGCCGCCCGCGCCGGGACCGCCGACCCCGCAGCCGCGCAGGGGGGGCGCGAACTCCGGCAACTCGACCCCGGCGCCCCCGCCCCCCCGCCCGCGCCCCCCGCCGGGCCCCGCGCCCCCCGCCCGCGCCCCCCGCCGGGCCCCGCGCGCTCCACTCACTCCGGTGCCGGCCGCCGCCCCCCCAGCTCGGCTTGGCCAGGCTGGGGCTGCGGATCAGCGCTCGCCCGGCGGACTTGAGCGCGTCCATGGCCGCTCGGCCGCCGCCGCTGAAACTCCGTCAGGAAAACTTTCCGCCCCGGCGGGCGGCGCGCGGACTCCGCGCTCACCCCGCGCTCCTCCCCCCCGGCGCCGGGCACGCGCCGACGTCCGAGGGGCGGGGCGAGGGGGACAGGCCCCGCCCCCGAGCCCCCCGCCCGCCCCGGCCCCGCCCACGCAGCCCCGGCCCCGCCCACTCCGGCCCCGCCGGGCCCTGCCCCGGCTCCCGCCGCGCGCCGGGCAGTGCTCCCGGAGGCAGCCCCAGGCGACCCCACTTCTACTTCCCCTCCCCGAACCCTGGACTCTCCACCCCGTCGGGGTCTGGACCACCTCCCCCGCCACGGGAGGCGCAGGCTGGGATTTCTAGACAGTCCCGCTGAAGGATGCTTGGAGACCATTGCAGAGACTGAGGGCCAAGGGCAGGAGACGAGGGTCTTGTCCAGGACCCGAGGAGCGGCGTGCCCAGGACAGTGGCAGGCTTGGAAGGAGAGGTGGAGGTGGAGGTGGAGGTGGGAAGCTTTGCTGGGAACAGGGTAGGAGCATAAAAGTTTGCCTTAACAAGGTCAGTGCGTGTTTTGCCCACCCAGTAGCACTCGGGCTGCTCCCTGGCACCACCTGGCACGCTGGGCTGCCCCCTGCCCATCCCCTTCCCCAAGTAGCCTCCGAGTTGGTGAGGCCTGGGTGTGATGCTCTGAGGTGTGGAGAGAGATGCCTCAGCCCTGGCGCTGACTTGAGTGTGTGACCTCAGGCAAGTCTTTTTCCTCTCTGGGTCTTTATCTGTTAAAGGAATTGGGATCCTATTTCTAGTGACCCTCTCAACCTGCCAGGCCAAGTGCTGCATGACCTTGACCCAGACCCTGCTCAGCTTGCTAGGGGTACTTGGAGATGGGCCTAGGTTCTAAAATTCCTCAAGTACAGGAGTTCCACCTCCAGGATTTAGAATTCTGATTCCCTAGGATCCTATGCCCTCCTGTCAGGCTTTGCCAAAGGGCATTGGAAGGACAGCACATTACCCAGCCGGGCTTCTTCTGGGCGTGTGTGGGGTGGTGAGGGCGCCTCAGCCTCTGGGATTGCTCCAGACTGAGAACGCAGGACCCCTGTTCCTGTGTTGGGGGAAAGACAAGGCTGTGCCACCCCCAGCTGGAAAGGGAAACCCTGCTGACATTCCTCTCGTGGTTGATAAACTAATGCCTTTCCAGCCATCTGGCCTTTGCTCTCCCAACAAGCATCCAGTAACAGACCCACCATGGAAACAAAAGCCACAGGCCCACTGAATGACTCTTGGGGTCAGAGGCCAGAGTCAAACTCAAACCCAGGACCCTCGGTAAAAGTAAAATGTCAGGAGTTTGACCCGGCTTTCCTTCTTTGGGTGGTTGTGAACTCACCTTTCTGAGCCTCTTGTGTAAAAGGGGCAACAATACCTATTCCAGAGGGCTGTCTGTAAGGATTACATGAGTTGGAAAGACTCAGCACCCTGTCCTTGAGAACTCACCTATAAAGTTGCCTCTTGCAGGAAGCCTTCCCTGACTATTACCCTCAGTTAGCTGTCTCCTTGTGGGACCCCACAGGTGTGAACTTTCAGCCCTACAGTTGTTGCTGGTGCCTATTCCTACTCTTCTCACCCCCACGGGACTTTGAGTCCTTCAAAGGCAGCACGCTTTTCTCACTCTTTTCTGAATCCCAAATCCCTAGTATGGGATCCAAATGGACTTCCTTTCCTTTCTCCCTGCTTCTTATCCTTCCTTCCTCTTGGCAGCTTTTTAACAGCACCATGCTATCTTTTCCCACCAAGGGCTATGGCAATGGGTAAATAGGTCCTTGGGATCAAGCTCCCAGCTCTCTTACCCAGCACTCTCCTGGGGCTGGCTGGTGTGGGGCAGCTGGTGGTGTCCACCTGGCAGGGGGTACCATATGGGCCCAGTAAGCAGGCAGGCCTGAGAATGCTGTGCCTGTAGTGAAGGCTGTTTACAGGGCCATTGCATCTTCCCGGAGGTGACTTGCTGGGAACTGTCAGCCATGCATCCCCCGCAGAGGGGCAGCCTGCTTGTGCCCCTTCTGCCAGTCCCAGAAACAGAAGCAGAAACAGAAGGTCAGAGCAGCAAGGGGCCTCCTCTGAGGTCACTGTACCCAAACCTTCATTTCACAGGGAAGGAACTTGAGGCCCAGAGAAGGACAGGGACTAGCCCAAGGTCACACGACAAGCCAGAACCAAGAACCAGGCCCTCTTGCCTCCCTGCTTGGATGCTTGTAAAAACAGACATGTAAAGAATATTGAAAACATACCAGCATTCAGAAAGGAATTTTAATGTGATTTTTCTTTTTCTTTATTTATTTGCTTATCTGATCTAAATTTATAAAGTTTCTACGATGGTCGTACATCGTTTAGTAGTCAGGAAAAAAAACAATAGAAGTGAAGCTGCATATCAGAATAACTGGTTTTTATCTTGAGAAAAATGGTGTCTGAGCTGTATTTACTCTTTTCTCCCCCACTGAGCCCTCATGGAACCCCAATGAGAGAGTGGGTGCCAAGGCTCTTGGCTTCTCTCCAGCTATCACTTGGGGCTGCGGTGGGACCTAGATGGGAGAAGTCAGGAGCCCCAACCTCCTCAAGTGACCTGTCCTCCCCGCTTCCTGACCCCATCCCTTCCCCCCCCCCCAGCTAGGCCTGTGGTTGTCCATCTCTTGGAAGGGTGTTTTTACAGAAGAGGATGCCTTCTTTCCCCGCGAGTGGAGCCTGGATCCCATCTCCTCACTTCTTCACTCCCTGATCGTAGACAAGTCATGTACGTTCCACAGGCCTCAGTTTCCTCATCTGTAAAATCGGGATTCCTTGTGAGCAGTTGTAAGGATTAAAAGTTAATGTTTGGGATGTGTTTAGAATTAAATCTGGCAGATATCAAGTGCTGTGTTTATGTTGCATATTAAATGGAGTGGCTAGTGTTTTAAGTCTTGACTGACCTCCAGGGAAGGGAGTTCCCTTGGGATGGAAGTCAGCCTGGCACAGTCTGAGCTATGGCAGCCCAGCCTCACCCCAGAGCTCTCCACCCCCACTCCTGACTGGCATAGGGCTGTCTCACACCCATGTCAGGCTCTGGTCTGAGACAGCCCTCTCCAGGGAAGCAGAGGGAACCTGGGTTACGGGTGAGTCAGAAGCCCCAGGGATTCCCGCTAGACTTGATTCCGATCTTTCACCAAGCCACAGGGCCTCTGCTGCCTGCCATACCCTGCTGCCCCAGCCAGTTGTCTCTGCATCCTTCCCACTTCACACTCTTTCAACACTATTTCTTCCAGAAACTTCCAACCAGATTGCCTCCTCAACTCTCCCAGCCTCCCGCCTTTGCCCAGAACATCTAGTTGGCTTCCTTCCCAATACCCACAGTCACAGCTGCCCACACAATCATCTTCCCACAGTCACACACACACACACACACACACACACACACACACACACAACTGTTTGCTTTTGACCTGGCAGTTCTACATGCCTGACCTCTAAAACCAAATCCCCCACCTGTGTATATGTGACCTTTGCTAACTGGGCCTCAGTTTCCTCATCCATACAGTGGGGATAACACCCGCCTGAGAGGGCTTTGTAAGGGTTCCATGGGGTATTAGGTGGGAAATGTTTAGCTAGTCCCTGGCGTGTAGCAAATGCTTAGTTTCTGGTTATCATGACTGCTTTGGTTGCAGTGAGCTATTTGTCTCTCCCCGCAGCTGGAGCACAAGAGATGGAAACCGTCACATATACAGGCCCACAGGGCTCCCTGGAGCAGCCCACATGCTGGCCCTGAGAAGGCACCCAACACACATGCAAGGACCTGACTTGAGCACTATTTCTGGTTGCCAGTGTGGGCCCAGCAGTGGCTGACTGCAGCAGCAGGGAGGAGCAGCAGTGCCTAGCCGGGCGGGGGAGGGGCTCCTAAGGGCCCCTCCCCTGCCAGACAGCTCTCCCGGCTAGGACCAGCAGCTGTTCCTTCCTTGGCCTGGGCCTCCACCGGAGGGCTCTGCCTATGGAGCTGCTGAGCTAATTAAGAATGACAAAGCACCGTGTAATTGCCAGCAACTGATGAGTCCCCTGCCTCTTCCTGCCCGTCCTTCCCTGCCCTCCTTGGCACTGTCTGGCCTGGAGGTCACCGCGCAGACACAGAGGAGTGTAGAACTGAGCACACACTGGTGTCAGGAGACTGGGAAGCTGGCTGCTTCTGCAACACTTGTGCAGTGGGACCCCGGCAAGGGACTACCCTTGTTGTATTGGCTCCATTTTTTCTCATCT